GCTCTTTTCAATCATTACTGAACAATTTACCAAAGGAACATTTTATTGCACAGAAGCTAGTTAAGCTGAAACTGCAGTTTGCATGTCTCCTGACAAAAGGGGTTTTCTGAAAGTACAGTTCACTGTATTTCTAAGTAGTGATTATCCTGTTGTTTCCTTTTCATTATGCAATTGTTCTTGAGAGTTAAAGGTTTTACAAGTTATAAGATGTTGCTGCCAGAGGTGTGGAAGGAGGGAGGTGTTGAAATCGTTTCAGTGGGGTTAGATGTCAGTATTTAGTAGCTTTAGAGCAGGGTAACAAACCACACAAAGAATGAGCTTTCCCCTCTACCCTCCCTCCCCCAGAAAAAAATAAATACTGAAAATGGCTAGTGACTCTATTTGGAAAATTGTTTCATACAATAAAAAATCTGTTTCCTGTCTAGAGTGTAAAAATGCTCTATTCATCTTCTGGACACTGATACTAATTATACTTTTCTTAATTTAGTGGAAAATGGGGAATTCAGAAAGCCAGTACAGTCTTCATGGATCAAAAAATCACACTACTGCTGCATCAGGTGCCAAGCAGAAGCCTTGTTCTCTGAAATTTCACAGTGGATGGGGGCACAGCAGCAGTGGCACTAACTACAAATCGAGATCACTAGCTAGGAGCTGCCTCTCCCACTTCAAAAGTAACCAGCCTTATTCATCAAGGATCAGTGACACAGTGGCTAAAGCATCTAAAAGCAATATCCATGCCAAACACAGGACAAATGCCCTGGGAAACTACTGCCAGGGGAACAATGCAGTGTTTTTGCCTGAGAATGGTTTTCACTATATTGACCGTGAAGCTGCAAGTAATCATGTTGCCTCCAGGGATTGCAATGGGCATCTTTTACATTGCTATGGAACGAATGAAAGCCTAGCATCAACCCCACCACCAGAGGACAGGAAGAGCCCCAAAGTTCTCATTAAAACACTGGGGAAGCTGGATGGCTGTTTAAGGGTTGAGTTTCACAATAGTAGCAACAACAAAGTTTCTACAGAGGAATCCAATGGACCAGTCCAGCTGTTGAGATACTCACCTACTTTAGAATCAAAATCTAATGATCTGCTAGATGTGAGGAGGAACTCCAGTACTGATGACACTTCAAGTCATCGTCTATCTCCCACCGACTCAAGACTTAGATCCAGTAAAGGAAGCTCCCTGAGCTCAGAGTCTTCATGGTATGATGCTCCTTGGGGCAACAATGGGGATATCAATGAGCTGGATGGCTCCTACTTGACCAGGAGCACTCCTGATACAAGTATTCATGCCAGTTTTCCCACAAATGACAGCAAAAAGTCCTTCAACCAAAGTTCATCTCTTTCCTCTCTCCGCGATCTATATAAGGATACAAATTTAGAAAGCAGCCCATCATCCACGCTCAGGCTGTCTGATGAATACATTAGTACTCATGCTAGCTTAAGCAATCGCGTTTCTTTTGCCTCAGATATTGATGTCTCTTCCAAAGTAGGACACAGAGGCCCTACACAGTACTCTTCTTATACCCTCCCATGTAGAAAATCCAAACCCCTAAATGACGATGCCTCCAAGAAGGACACATTAAAAAGCAGAATGCGACGCATCAGTGACTGGACAGGAAGCCTCTCTAGGAAGAAAAGAAAGCTGCAGGTATGTGAAAAACTCATCCTAAAGTCTAGTGCTGAGAGCCAGTTTGTTGATACCTTTCATTAGTGTAAGTCTGTGTTTCATTTTTCAAATATTTAATCAATGATGGGTGACCCCTTTGGTAAATTATGAAATGTGGACAAAGACTGTACTAGAGGCAGTTGGAAAATTTCAATTAAAGGGATTTAAAGAAAAAAATTCTCCCCCATCCCTGCCTGTTGTTCCATTCCTCTCTTCTTTTCATTTTATGGAAGCGAATATATGTTGAACCTCTCTAGTCTGGCACCCTTGGGACCTGGCCAGTCCTGAACCGGAGAATTTGCCCAACAATGGGAGATCAATATAGTCTAGCAGCATTACAACAATTTCTCTGCTTATTGGGCTCTTAGAAGACATTTAGGGGTAAGTTAAAGCTAATAATAGCACAGAACACTCAGAGCCAGGACTGGTGGCTGTAAACAAACTTTATGGGATTGCAGGAAACTTGGCCACACCCAGGATAAGTGGACATCTGGCTAACCAAAATCATGCCGGATCACAGATGTTGCCAGACCAGAGTGCTGGACTAGAGAGGTTCAACTTTTATATCCATGAGTAGATTTTCAGGTCACTGGCTTTTCATGAGATGAATGGGAGATTTTAAAATAATTTTCGTGTTTAAAGCAAAGAGATCTGATCCTATATATATATATATATCTCAAAACATCATTTGTAGCCTCCAAGTTTAAAAAAGGATAAACCAGGTATCTCCAAATCCAACTGTACACTGTGGGGCTATTGATTAAACCTGTAATTTTTATGAAGATGGTTTTTATCCAGCTGACTTCTTCCTATGTATGATTTTGGCTTCATAATTCTCTAAGTAAAAAAGCTGAAGTGCCGTCTGGTTATCTGGTAGGTGTCTCCTTAAACAGACTAAGGCTAATCCTCTCAATGGGAACTGAGGATAACTCTGATCAAGCCTGAAATTCCTGTCCCCTGCTCTAGCCCCCAGAATAAGCTCTGTAAGGGCCAGACTGTGCCTTGCACAACTGGGGACTGCAGAAATTTCTCTCACTCCTATAATGCCTACCGTGAAAGGCTGGCCCAAGTTGTGCTCTCCTTAGTTCAAGGACTGCTCCCTTCTAGAACTGCAGGGGTGCGAGCCACCGCAAAGGTGAGCAGAAAGGCGGTGGGGCAATGTATCTACATCTTTATAGCACCGGCAGTACTATCTAGTTGAGTTAGATCACACACTGCTCCCTAAGGTCTGGTGCAGCAACCATGCTTCTCCGGTATGCTGGGGAGATTTGGTAGGCACTCTGCCTTCCTGAGGCATAATCTTCCCGGAGCTGGTCCTCACTGCACACTACGACCAGCATCAGACACAACTTCAGGGCACGGCATGCAGTATTGGGTGCCAAGAAATCCAGTTAATTTGCTGATGGCCTGCATACATTCAGAGAGAGTGTCTCAGAATTCAGCACTCAGAAACTGAAAGCTGCTCCGTTTGTTCATTATTTTACTTGAGACTTTTTGTGAGTTAGAATGGAGCCCTCCACTTTCTTCAGGCCTTATCTTTTCACTTCACTGCTAGAAAACAGGACAAAAATGAATGAATAAAAAGTGTGTTGGCTTTTTACCCCAGGTTTCACCAGTGATATTAACAGCACTGAATATTTAGATTCTATAAAAATTCATATCAGGCTCTAAATATGATCTCTGCAACATAGCTCTTTTGCTGTGAATTAGTGAATTACAGCATTTTCAGAATGATAGGCATAAAGGGATTCTTGGCTGTTTTGCACCAGCTGTGTGTACATAGTACAGAGACTCACTGACTTCCCCAACAGCAGGGGAGTGTTGCTGGTGAAACTGTATCAAATCAGGCTCTGACATTGGTGAAAGGAATCAACCCCAACTCTAATTAAGGTATCTTAATTATGGGACTGAGAAACAGAGAACTGTGTTATAGTTAAGGAGTCTAGCAGCAGCAGGTCAAAAACATGTAGCTTCTTGTCCATAGACGTAGTTTGTTTGGCTTAGCTGGGTCCTGATCACTTTACCAATTTTAGACGTGTAACTGGCTCAGAGGACAGCTGTCTTTTACATGGTTACGGTGGTAATGTAGATGGATCCTTAGAGAGAAAAATTCTGTGATAGTATTGGTTTGGGGCTCATTGAGTCTTTGCAGTTGTAACGAGTAGTGGCATGGTTGACAGTAAACACAAGTTATTTGTTTAGAGGGCCCCCAAATGAGGCCCTATTAGTAATTTGCAAACCTAATACTATATTCTCTAAAATAACTGAAAATTGGCCTTTTTGTAGGAAACTGGTTCTGAAGAGCAATAACAAAATATTAAAATGCCAGTGTTTCAGCAGGTTCCCATGCCTACAATGGGTTAAAGAAAAGGGAAATGGAGATTTCTAAATCTTACAAGAGAATTGCAGCTAGTTGGTGCCTGGAGTAACGCTAGGAGTTGTATAATCTATGAGATGCAACCATCTTTCAGGCACGTGTGTAATATCTTTTTAAAAATTTTTTCTTGCCTCTACACTTACACTTGGGAAAGTGCTGTTGCCTTCTTTCTCTTGTTCCCCGTATCCATTGTTATTTGGAGTTGAAATAAAATTATCTTAACTAGCCAAATAAATATGAATCCAACTCTCACCCAAATCTGCATGTTAGGATGTTAGTTCTCTTTAACTTTCATTGGTGTTTAGGTTTACTGCTGCCTTTAGTTGCAGGTATGAACTTCAGACACTCAACATGATTCTGATCTCAAGTGACTTTTATACTGACATAACTCAATTGACTTCAGTGGAGTGATTGACCCCTTGGTAAAGGCTCCTTCTGGGTCAGGCTGGATTCTCACTACCCGGTACTGAAGAATGTGCTAACTGGACCAATTTGTGTTGTGTTTATTGATTAGGACTTAGTCTTAGGACGCTAAGTCAGTAATAAGCTCTGGAAAGGATAGAGACCAATGACCTGCTAAAACTAGATAGCAAAATAGGTGCAGCTTTCCTATAAGACTGAGCACAGTGATCTACAAGATGTAGATGTTAGAAGGGTCTCTTCCAGGTTTAAATTTAAATGTATTGACTTGGCAAATAATCTTTAAATTACATTTGGCATTTCTGAGCTTACTGCCGCAGCAACCTTCTTGCTGAAAAGTGACCTTTTTTGTGACATCTGTGATGGCATGGGATCTCAGTGTTGCTCTTGGCTTTATGTTGGAGGTCATCATACTGTCAAAACATAGCACAGCTTCTCCCAGTACATTTTTGATGTGTAACATCGAAGATGTGGAAGAAGTGGGGAGGGGGGAAAAAGCAGTTGCTTCCAAGCTCCTGGTGTGACTAGTTCAGAGGAGACCCGTATTTGTTTATTTTATCCATATGTAGAAGTCAGAGTGCAAATAAATATCACTTTAGAAGCAGTATAAACTTGAGCAAAAAATAACACTTCAAGAGTAATAGTGCTTCTGGCTGAGCTATTTACAGCCCTTGGGTATTTTCAAATAACATTTGTTAATTTTTTTTCATACAAAAGGAAGCAAATAATTTCTCTCTCCCTTAATTTTTAAGCATAATGTATTTTAAGAATATCAGTAAAATACAGTTGGATGGGAGATAAATCTAACTTGGTGGAATGTTTCCCCTTAACTGTAATTTTGCTTATAGAGCTAATTCTTGTGGGATATTAAGATGCCCGAGTGCCCACTGAAATCAATGGGCATTGGGTGTGGTGATGGCTTTGCTGAGTTAGGTCTTAAAGCCTGGATTTTCCTATAGACAGACTATTTCAGGATAAGGATGTTAAGTATTGGGTAATTGACTAATCGAACAGAAAATGCATTTTTGCATTGACTAGTCAATAGCATGCCTCTGCCTTCGAGGGGTAGCAACATCCTTAGGGCTGTTTTAAAATGCAGTGGACTCTCTTGCTGACTCTGGACTCTGTGCAGTGCTGCCACTTTGAAATGTCACGGGGAACCTGGCATCGTCTTCCTCATTCATTTCAAAGTGGTAGCACCGTGTGGAGCCTGGGATCAGCTGGGGACTTTCAGTGCATCGCTGCTGCTTTGAGCCCAGGATCAGCTGGGGACATTTCAAAGTGGCAGCACTGCATGGAGCCTGGGGTCAGCTGGTGGGTCCCTGGCTGATATCGGGCTCCGTGTGGCACTGCTGCTTTGAAGTATCTCCCTCTTCTCCTCCTTCACCCACCCCCACTTGCTGCCTCTATCTGATAGAGGCAGCAAAGGGGGGAAGAAAGGAGGTACTTCAAAGGCCAGTGCCGCACAGCTGATTCCAGGATCAGCTATGCAGCACTGCCCCTTTGAAATGCCGAGGCGGCATTTCAAAGTGGTAGTGATGCCTGGAGCCCGGGGTCAGCTGGCGAGTCTCCAACTGATCCTAGGTTCTGCTGAAATGCTGCTTGGAGCCCAGGGTCAGCTGGGGAGTTCCCAGGGTCAGCTGACCCTGGGCTCCACGTGGCATTTCAAATCAGCAGTGCAGCATGGAGCCCGGGGTCAGCAGGGGACTCTAAGTGACTCACTGACCCTGGGCTCCATGCTGAGCTGCCACTTTGAAATGCACAAGAGCCCCCACTGGGGACTCTTGTACATTTCAAAGCTGGCTCACCATGTACAGCCTGGAGTCAGTGGGACATCCAGCTGGCTCTGGGCTGCACCTGTGTTTTCCTGCCATCTAGTCCTTCACATCCCTATTGCAGGAATGACTGAACTTTCCACATGAAAATCATATGTAGAAGATGCATTGCAGAGCACATAAAAGGGAACTTCCCTGCCCTGCCCTGCTGCAGAACAAATGAAATTGCATCCTATAAGCATGAGTAATACAAATGGATTTCATAGAACTGTACACTGCTGGATCTGGGTGTAAAGTCCCCACTGCAATAGCAATGTTTTCAGTGTTCAGAAAATATACACCACTCCATTTTAAAACTTGGCTTTATGCAAATCATCCAACCCACTTCCTCTCAGGTTTAAATCAAAGCTGAGTCTGTTTATCTTGGCAGAGAGTTGGTGAATTCAGTTGGATTAAAAATGTCAGATTTCAGACTGGCATTTTTCAGATCCTCAGGAGGCAAAATCAGATTAGCTCCATTAATGTCATTAATTTATATCTGTTAATCTGAAGATCCACACTTTTAAAAGGTCAGAAATTGAAACCCAGCCACCTAGATTGAATTTAATTTCTCCCCATTATAAAAACCCTTAAATAAACAGAACTACTTTTTTCAGTGTTACTATTATAGACAGATCAGGGTGTTAAAGACATTAGCCCAGTTTTATGATGATCAGGAAAGCAGATTAATTCACAGTTGTCAGGGATATATGGTTCTACTTGCAGTGCTCATTGGGCTATTGGAAATCATAGTCACAGCAATTATCAATGAGTTCTGATTTTTATTTTTTAAAGCCTATTGAGTCAGTGAACACTGCTGGTTTGGCGGTTAGCCTTACTGAGATTCTATTTGAATAAAAATGTTGCTATAGCATTGACAGTAGCAAAGATTGCTAAGATTAACAGCCACCATCTTAGTTAAAGCAGACATGCTTTGGTGGAGTTTAAAATGAAGAAAGATGAAACAAACAAGACTGTGTAAGATATACCTCTTCACTGTAGATTACTTGTAATTTGCATTAATTACAGGAGCCAAAATCCAAGGATCTGAGTGAATACTTTGACAGCAGAATCGATAACCTCACTACAGACACTTTGGCACCTTCACAGCTGTCTGGTTTACTGTGGTCACCTGGATCTGGCCCCATTCTGCCCCAGAGAAGTGAATCCACTAATGCAATCAGCAGTGATGCCCTGAGGCAGAATATTTATGAAAATTTCATGCGGGAGCTGGACATGAGCAGGACTAATGTTGAGAATACGGACACGTCAACAGAAACGGAAGACTCCAGCAGTGAATCACTCAGTTCTTTAGAACAACTGGATCTTTTGTATGAGAAAGAACAAGGAGTTGTGCGCAAAGCAGGGTGGCTCTTCTTCAAACCATTGGTAACTCTACAGAAGGAGAAAAAACTTGAGCTGGTTGCACGGAGAAAGTGGAAGCAGTACTGGATAACACTCAAAGGTAAATCATAGTTAATCTCTTTTAATGTGCTCACACAGGTGCTGTCCTTTGTTTTCTGTTAGTTTATCGTGCTTTTGTTTTATTTGTTTGTTTGTTTAATGAAACCTACAAAATGTTTTGGATCAAAACGCAGCTTCTGAAGACCTTGGGCTTTGCTTACACTAGCTCTTTTGTCTGGAAAACGTTTATTGGTCTGGAATGTGGAAAACCCTCCTCTGACTGACAAAAGTTTCACCCTCAGAAGTGAGGGTGTGGACAGCGCTATGTTGGTGGGTGATATCCTCCTGCTGACATAGCCACTGCCACTTGTTCAGGGTGGTTTAATTATGCTAGCGGGAGACCTCTCACTGGCATAGAGCAGCAGTGCAGGAGACTTTACAGCTGCAGCAATGCTGTTATGTAGACAAAGCCTAATTCAGGTAGATACTTAAGTCCATGCCTAACTTTAAGTACACAAATCATCACATGCTTAAAAATAGGCATGTACTTAAATACCTTACCAAAAGCAGGCCTACATTTGTACCTTCGGCTTTGGATGTATATAGCTGTGTATTTGGTATTGAAAATCAAATGATATTTGATTAAGCTTTCTGATTTATGGGTTCATGAAGATTTGGATGTGTGTCTGTTTACAAGAGGCATGGTTAAAAGCAATTCTGAACCTGTCACGGGGTGACTAGCCCCTATTAGGAAAATGGTCCTTTGTTCCCTTTGACAGTAGTTGCTTCCCACTTGGACTTGTTTGGGGGATAAGTTACAGGTACCTGATAGTAGTGAAAGGGAGGATGGGAAATTTTTGAAGGGGAGGGAAAACTCTTTGGACTGGATAATGGAGACTGCCCAGGCCAGAGTGACCTGGGTAAGATCCCGGGAAGGGCTGAGGAAGATGACTACAGGAAAATTTCACACTCCTGCAAGGGATCCTGTGTCTAGGATCAAACCACACAGAGGTGACTGGATGTCATTGGGAAATGACATGGAAAGTTGGACTATGAGAGAGGAATGACAGTCTACAGACTGAGTGGTCCTGGTGATATCCCGACCAGCAAGGCTCATGTTAACTTCTCGTCCCTAAAGTTGGTGAAAACTTAATGGAAGCAACAGAATATGCTTGGTTTTTGTCATAGGCTGTAAAAGGGCAGCCTGAGGAAAAAAGCGTTGAGCAGCACGTGAGGCGAGTCATCTGTCCTGGGTTTGGCAGTCAGGACAGACTGGAGAACAAGGAAGAAAACCGGGACACAGCATGCTTGCTGTGTTGAGACAGCATTGGGGCGGATGCAGCATTGCCAAATTCAGGATGAAAAATAATGAGTTACATCCCCAGAAATCATGAGACAGGCCCACACAATGATGTGATTTTTTTTTTATTTTAAAAAAGTGGGGGGTTTTTTCCGTCTGACTTGATTATTGAACTTCCTCTGCCAGCCCTCAGTATGTATGTGAGGTAATTTACTGTTGCTTGCCTGCTCTCTCAAATGTGTTGGGTAAGGTGATTTGGTGGCTCAATGCAGGACTCTTCTACAGCTGCCTGTCCCTTCCCTGCAATTCATCTTGCCTTCATTGTAAATTCAACCCTCTTCAGTTCAACTAACCCCAGCCCCCCTCATCCACTCAACTCTCCCTCCCACCCGCATTGTCTCACAAGCCGCTCCATTGCACTGCTTGGCATTCTTCATCCCTTTTCCAGGCCTGGGAGGGCTGCAGTGGTTCTGTCTCCCCCTTTTCAACCTGAGAGTGAAGCAGTTCCAGGAGCTTTTCACCCCCCTATGTCTCTTAGCAGGATAGACACTGCAGGATGGAAATAAAAAGAGCAATATCGCACACTTGTCTGTGTTTTTCAAAGGAGGCAAGAGAGGAAGACCCAGCAGAATTGAGCTGAGCTACAGGTCTCTTTGCTCCTCCCTCTTCTCTGGGGAGAAAGATTAGCATAGGTGAGAAACTACTGGCTTCTGACAGGCTGAATTTCTCACTGGGACTGAATTTTTTTGGGTCATCAAAAGTCGTGCTTATGCTCTCTCTGAAATCCCATCGCTCCGGCAACAAATAACACAAAACAGTCAAACGAAAAAACATGAGCATTGACGATTCTGAGTGGCAGTTCCCCATCACAAGGCCAGATTTTTAAAAAGTGGAATCCCACTTGCAGGCACAAATTCATTCACATGTGTGTCTAAGACTGGGTCCCTTTCTAAAAGAAATGCCCTGGTTTAACCTGATGTTATAGGTTTGTTGCAGCAATTACTTAATGAAATTCGATGGCCTGTATTATATACGAAGTCCGTTTAGGTAATCAAGATGGTCTCTTTTGGCTTTAAAAATCTGTGTCTCTGTATTTGGATGTTGCAATGACTGCTTAGCGCAGCCATGGGTGTTTGTTCGCAATTTCTTCATGACCTATGCATTTTGGTGTGGACAGAAAAGCTTTAATTTAAAAAAAAAATGGCCCTTTTATTTATTACGACAATATTGCCTAATTATCTATTCCTGAGCAAAAATTTGCTCTTCTTTTTGGGGATACTTTTTGAGCCACTAAATTACTTTGAATTTACGTGCTGGAAAGCCAAACATACTTTTATTTTTAATACGCCTACATTGCTCTTTTCACTTACAAACACATTAGAGTGGCAGTTCCCCACCTCTAATGCCTGCACCACTACTTTAGCCTTTTGTGACAGATCCTCCTCCTTATCCTCCTTCGCTGATGATGAGCATCAGTGTGAGTGCTGGTGCATTACTCCTGCCATTGTCCATCTATTCACTTGTGTGTGGCCCAGCCCACATCTTAGACTACTCCAAGCCCCAGTGTCAAAGGTTCAGAGCAAGCCAGGAAGCATTATGGGTTAGAAAATGCACAGCTGAATGGGGGCCCATGGACATTTCCCTGGGTGAGCTGAGGTGTTGAATTCAGAGTTTATATACATCTGTAAATGGGTATACGTTAACTAAACATACGGGTCGGAAGTAGCCCTGGTTCACTGATGTTGTGGCACAGACACTCAGATCCCCATGGTGCTCCTGTGTGGTGTGCTGAGGCAGCAACACAGTGGGGATCTCTTGAAGCCTTGATATGTCAATACAGAGATTGTTCCCCAGGACACTTCCCCTGGCTGTCCTGTGTTTGAGGTAGGCATGTCATAGAGAGCCTCTGTGCGGCAGCACTGGCACGTAAAGGGCATCCCATAGTGCTAAGGTAGCAATGGCTGAGGAAGGGCTAGTTCCCTTCTCTCTCAAACTCTGGTGCAGCCCTGCATTCCCTAGTCCAGCCATGATCCCATGTCTCTCCTGTGGCACCCCACATCCACCATTTCCTCCCACCTGCTGCTGTTCTGCATCACTGCTGCTCTTCCCCTGCTTTCCGTGTTGTGAAGCAGCAGTGTGGAGCTAATCTGAAGGGTGGAGGAGGGAAAGCTGCTGGTGGGTTGGTGGGTACTGTTGGGTTGGAGCTAAGGTTATACATTTGGTGCTGACTGTAATGGAGGAAGTAGGTGTCTCAGTGAATACATGGAGGAAAATCAACATACAGTTTGTTGCAGGGAGGTGACTTCCTAAATTTTATAGATTACACTGCTGGGAATTGCCTTTTAGTAAATATAATGCTGAGTTAATAAGTAGGGAAATAGTTGAAATAAATAGTTTCCTAGCGTATTTAAGATTGAAGGGGAGGAATTCCCACAGGTTTCAATTTTCAGAATGATTACCTGACTCATTACTGTATGCGTCTAAACTTGAAGAAAAGTAAATCCTGTGCTGTGTGTATTGGCAGTGTTCAACATGTGCAGTGTCAATGCATACAAATTAAATCGGCAAGAAAGAGGGTGGGAGGAAAGAATATCAGTAATTCTGCACAATAATTCTGAGATCTGTTGTTAACAAACAAAATTCAGGCAGACTTAATTAACAGGTTTAATCATCTTTCCTTATCGCTATACCGAGGCAGTAAAATGAATTAGGCCTGCAAATAGTTAATGTAAAAAAAAAGGTAGTATCTGAATGCCACCCTTTCCTCACCTTTGTTTGGGCTCTTAAGTGTTGTAAATATGAGTTTAATCTGTCTTTTGAAAGATTTTTTTTAAAAGGATCAATGAAACTTCTTACACTAAGTATGCTACACTTGTTTTGTATAGGTCTTTGTACTGTATCTTGAATGCTTTTCATATGGGATTAGTGTTATAATTGCCTTTATGGTGCTGGATCTTTTTGTCTTGTTAGTTCATAAATAGATATTCCTTCATTTCCTTGATCATACATACACTTTATTTGTCTTGCAAAGATTTCTGTTGCCAAAATAAACTTGCCTATGTGGATTTCAAGGCTCCTTTTATTTATTTATCACACAAGATCAAGAAACTTGCTTCAGAACTCATTGTGTAGATCTTGGGTTAAGTTGTTCTGGAAATATAAATAACCAAGATATTTTAAACTACATATTTTAAAGAGCCACATATGTGAATGGGGAACAGCATATTTCTCTGCATTCTATTGAAATGTGTTTAATTTATGCAAAAGGCTTACAACCTTCTGGTAACCTGCCAGACTTGGATTTATCAGTGTCTTGAGGCCTCTCCTTTACTTGGTATGCTGTCAAGACCTGAGCTTGAATAGTAAACCTTTAACAAGAGGAACTTTCCTTCCCATCTGTCACCCCTAATTAATTTATTTTAACAAGGGAAATTGCAAGCCCCCCCCCCCCCCCCCCCCCCCCCCCCCCCTGCATCCCCCACAGTGGCCATAATCCATTTTAGTGGGACATCAGGTATAGGGAGAATTGAGACCTATCTATTTATAAGGATCATAGTGCTGCTGTAACTTGGCAGGTTTAAGAGTTCAGCCCTGGTCCTCTGAAAAAGTTAGTCAAAAACTATTAGGATAAAAATATGTACTAAAATATTCTTATAACACCTTAATGATGATAGAAAGAAACAGTGGCCATAATCCATTTTAGTGGGACATCAGGTATAGGGAGAATTGAGACCTATCTATTTATAAGGATCATAGTGCTGCTGTAACTTGGCAGGTTTAAGAGTTCAGCCCTGGTCCTCTGAAAAAGTTAGTCAAAAACTATTAGGATAAAAATATGTACTAAAATATTCTTATAACACCTTAATGATGATAGAAAGAATTTTAAAACAATTTAATTTGCATTTTTTAAACAGAATAGTAAATCCAGATAAGTACAAAATATTTTAAGGTGGTACAGTTCTCACTGACTGAAAACCCCCCGGGAAATATGTAGAAGAACAAATCACCAACCCATTAAAACTTGCCTTGAATTCTAAACCTCTAGGCTTTAGTTCTTTCCTTCCTTGCATTTTGTGTGGTCATTTATATATGTGCAATATATGTGCAGAGTGACTGTAAAATGCTGCTGCTGATGTATGCAAGTGGAGAATTTGGATTTGATACTGCTATGCCCTTTCTACTAAGTTAAAAGTAACCCACTAGACGCACTGCCTCTTATTTACCATGCTGTTGGCAGAGCCGACCCAAAGTACGGGCCAACCGGGCGACCACTTGGGGCGCCCCATTGTAGGGGGCGCTGTGCAGGGCTGCTGGGCTGGGTGGGGGCGGCACCGTGCATGCTCCGTGCGCCTGGGGGCGGGGCCACGCATGCGTCACACTCCTGGGGGCGGCACCGCACTCCTGGAGCGCACAAATGGCTTGGCCCGGCCCTGGCTGTTGGGAGCTAATCATGGCCCTAACCCTGTAATTGCATCTGACTGGAGCCCAAGGCTATGTCTACACTGCAGGCTTCTTGCGTAATAACTATTTGTGCAAGAGCATGTCCACACTGCCATGTGCTTTTGCGCAAGAGCATCCGTGGCACTTTTGTGCAAGAAAGCTCAAATGGCCATTTTAGCCATAGGGGTTTGTTGCGCAAGAAATCCCTGTATCCTGTCCACTCTAGCCTTTTTGCACAAGAGCTCTTGCGCAAAAAGACTTATTCCTTGTGGGGAGAGGAATAACTCTTACGCAAAAAGCTCTCTTCTGACGATCTGCTGTAAACTTTCTTGTGCAAGAACAGGCTTGTAGTGTGGACACTCTGCAAGTTTTTGCGCAAGAATGGCCGTTCTTGCACAAGAAGCCTGCAGTGTGGACATAGTCTTAGTGTGTATGAGGAAACAAAGCATAAGCAGGCTGGTGACAAAGCTGCGACTACACTATCCAGTTCTGTCAGATACCACCCTGGGTGTATGTGTGTTTGTGATTAGGGAAGGGCACATAAATGGCTGCATAGGGATGTTTAGAAGCGTGTAATTTGTTAATCATGTAGGTGACAAAAAATATTGTCGACTACACTATTAATCGGTAAGGGTTAGCATTGCAAGCACTCAGTTCTGACTTGTGCTGGGTCTGGCAACTACCCCTGCTGTGGCTCTGCATTTAGAGTACTTTAGGAGCTGGCAGGCAGGCAGCCCAGCTGAGGCTCAGCTGACGCCGGGTCCCAGAAGCTACCTCCCATTGTGGCTCTGCTATAATACGTTCTTTGCAGAGCTGCAGCAGGGTTAGCTCCTAGGACTGGCATGAGCCGGGACTGAGCTGAGTTGCCTGCCCGCTGGCTCCTAAATTACTTGAAATGCAAAGCTGAAGTGGGGGTAGCTCCCGAGACCAGCTTGAGCCAGGACTAAGCCAGGCTACTGGCTAGCCCTCTACAAACTTTTACTAGTAGCGCCACCATTGTGGGAAAGGAGAGGAAGGGATAGGAATGCATGTAGTCAGTAGCATTAACTGAGAAGCAAAAGCCAACTACACTATTACATCCCTAGTATAGGCTGCTCCCACTATTGGACTGGGATGCCCTCAGTGGGGTATATGAAGAAGGGAATTTTTTCCTCTGAGTGCTAATTTTGAATTTACTGTTTACATTTAATTCGTGCTAGGGAACAAAATGAGACTGGCAGATTCACTTTCGTTTGTCTTAATTCTCTATGGAAAGGGGTCACAACCAGAACACTGGCTCCAAACTTCATAAATCCTAGCATGCACTGGTCATTAAAGGGTTAAACTGGATAGCAGGATCCAAGCATCCCTGAACTTTTAGGAAGTTTGAAGGTGGATCAGATTTTACATCTGAACTCGGTGATTTAGGTCACAGCTAAAGTTCTCATAAACTAGAACACTGTGATTTGGAATTTCCAATACTAGTCGGGGCAACATTAAAAGAAGGGGAGGAAATTTGTTTTCAATTTAATTCTTCTTTTTTAAAAAAAGCTATAAAACCAAAGCATTTCTATTTGTATTACTTTGTATGATGTCTCCGTGACACGTATCACATGTGTGCAGCACACACACACACACACACACACACACACACACAAAGATACCCTATAATTCTCAAATCATCACTTTATAGCAAAACTTAAATTTTGGCCCTAACCTGCATTATGTGCCTCCTAATTTGAAAATGGCAGGAAAAGGTATAATATTTATTTTCATTTGGCTCAGATTCAGATACTTTAGTATATATTTCTGTAGGTCAGAACAAATATATAGTCATAGATTAAAAAGCCAGAAGGGACAACTGTGATCATCTATCTGACTTCCCCTATAAAATAGGCCATAGGAGTTTCCTAAAATAACTTATTTAAATTAGAACATATCTTTTAGAACAAATGTTCAACTTTAATTTAAAAATTACCAGTGATGGATAATCCACCAAAATCCTTGGTAAATAGTTCCATTGTTTAATGACCCTTCTTGTTAAAAATGTATTTCTAGTCTGAATTAGTGAAAAACCTTTATTTCTAGTCTGAATTAGTGTAACTTCAACTTCCACCTATAGGATCTTGTTATACCTTTTGTCTGCTGACCTCTCACTATTATAAAATTTCTCTTCATTATGCAAAAGACAGGACTATGCAGCATCTCTATCACTATTCTTCATTATGAAGATACTTATAGGCTATGGTCAGGTCACCCCTAAACTTTTCTTTGGTAGATGTATGATTATCAGCTTAGCTACTGAGTTTCAGTTCCCAGATGCAGATGTGGCAGTCTGCTATCAGGTATCATTCTTTCTGAGAAACCAAGAATACAGTCAAAGAAAGAGAAATCCTTTAAAACATCCAAGTTATGTGAACAGTGATCAGTGTCTTACTACAGAATTTGCAGATATGAGCAAGGGAACCAAAGTTAATCTCCAGAGATGCTGAATCATTTTGTACAGTATTTGAAGATCAAAAGTACTAATCCTCTTTAGCAAATATTAAGGTTTCCCCGGTGACTGGGTGAGAGAGAACTGGCTCCACAAATTATTAAACCCAACAGCCTCTTCAGCTGAGCAGCCTTTCTTTGTGCTCTAGCATTTCAGCATTCCGAGTTTGCTAAGCTGTAATTTTTTTAAGCGCAAGTGTGTATCTTTCAGAAAATATTCGTCCTGTTTATTAGTTGTCGGGTTTTCCCTTCTTATTGACAAAGCTGCTATGTTTATCCACGCCTTTCTCCTGGTATAATAATACTTCTCTTTCAAACTCCTGGTGGGCAGCAGTGATATGCACTGTCATTAAAGTGTGTTTTACACTATATGCCAGATGAATAAAGAATTAAGATTCAAGAGAACTTTGGAAGCTCACTTTGATTTTCATTTTCCCTCCCAAAGGTTGTACCCTGCTGTTTTATGAGACTTATGGGAGGAATTCCATGGAACAGAGCAATTCACCAAGATATGCTCTATTTGCAGAAGACAGCATAGTGCAATCTGTCCCAGAACATCCCAAGAAGGAAAATGTGTTTTGCCTTAGTAATTCTTTTGGAGATGTGTATCTGTTTCAGGTAATGATATTTTACTGATGTCTTTATGTATGATATAAATGTAAATAAAAATGAATAAAGTTCTAGAGAACATTGCCTGTAAGAGAAGATTGAAAAAAATTGGGTTAGTTTAGTCTGGAAATGAGAAGATGGAGAGGGGACATAACCGTTTTCAAGTATATAAAAAAATTGTCACAAAGAGGAGGGACACAAATTATTCTTTCTTAACCTCTGAGGGAAAGACAAGAATCAATGGGCTTAAATTGCAGCCAGGAAAGGATAGCTAGGACATTAGGAAAAAAAATCCTTCCTGTCAGGGTGGCTAAGTACTGTAATAAATTGTCTAGGGAGGTTGTGGAATTTCTTGTCGTTGGAGATTAAGAGCAGATTAAACAAACACCTGCCAGGAATGGTCTAGATCAGTGCTTTTTTTTGTAATAATAATTAAAATAAAAGTGCCGGTACTCCAGAGGAAAAATTGTTGAGGGGAAAAGAAAAGCTGGAGTGGGGCCCGCTTTGCCCTTTTAAGACATGCGGCCCAGCCGACTGTCGGACATTTGCATACAGAGATGCCAGTACACTCCGTTCTTTCCAGGTAAGATCTGACTGGATGTGCCGGGTAAGATCTTTCCAGGTAAGATCTGACTGGCAGTACCATCACAAAAAAAAGCACTCGTCTAGATAATACTTGCCCTGTCCTCTGCATTCATGGCAGGGCTTGGATGACCTCTTGAAGTCCCCTCCAGCCCTATGATTCTCTGATAATTAGTCATATGGTCTGTGAAGACTGACTGTTCTAATCCTCATCCTCCTTCTTCTGCTCCTTTGCAGTCTCTTCACTTTGGTCTCACAGCTGCATCCTGACCCTCTTCTGCACTGCCCTGTCCCTGTCACTCCCTTTCCCTTCCTTTTTGTTTCCATTAAGCTGTAAGGCATCTATTATTCACCCCCTACAGCCCTTAGGGAATCTGCAGTATTATCAAAATCCAGATGCATCTATTAACACTCCACACTTCTATACTGAGGGGCCCACCCCAGACGCCCATTAGCTTCAAAGGGAGTTTTGCTTTAGCTAAATATTGAGGTTTGGAACTCAAAACAGTAGTTAAAAATCTAGGGAAACTAACTGCTTGTCTGTATTTTTTGGAGAAACACATAAAGTCCAGCCATCCTCCAAAGGAAAACTTCATTGCCGCGAAGCTGTATTTTTGTAATTGTGATGTTTGCATACTCTTTTTATACAAATGTATCCTTCTTTGTCCCTCTGGGTTCCCTCCACTAATTTGTCCTTGTTTAATTATACAGACCCCCATGGTTGGCCTCACAGTTAACTGTAATTTAAAAGCCTTACTAGTTAACCATTAATATTCCTATGAGACAGTGGAGAAAAGGCTAGTTGGAACCCATTTAACTGAACTCTATACACTCGCATCGTTTTAAGCATAAAGCTCTTAGAAATCAACGCACCTGACAAAAACTTTTTAGTATCACCAGGCACCATTTCCCCTCCTTGATGTCGCTTTCTTGATCTGTTATGTAGGCAACCAGCCAGACAGACCTGGAAAACTGGATTACAGCAATTCACTCAGCGTGTGCTTCCCTCTTTGCAAAGAAGCTTGGGAAAGAGGATACTATCAGGCTTTTGAAAAACCAGACCAAGAGCCTGATCCAGAAGATTGACATGGATAGCAAGATGAAAAAGATGGCAGAGTTACAGCTCTCAATTGTCAGTGATCCAAAAAACAGGAAGGCCATAGAGAATCAGGTACTACAAATGACATGTGAACTCCTGCTACTTGTTACAAGGATGTATTAATGACTACAAAGCTTACCTGCTCTGGGGTTAGATTTTTGTTAACGTTTCCTAGGCTGGAGAAAAGTGTCCCGATGGATTCACACTGTGTTACAGGGAAATCACTGGCAGCTGTACAATGCCATGCAAAAGACCTCGCCTGTGGTTATAGACACTAACTGCTACAACTTTGCCTGTCAGTACTACTAATTAAGTTTCCATATATGGAAATGGCTATTTCTGAAGCATACCGCAAAAGTCAAACAAGGTCTATGTTATACTTCTGTTGGGTGAATTATCAGCCAGACGTTCCCGCCTTCGGCTCTTGTGGCTTATAGTTAGCTGCTCATATAAGAATTAAAAATGAATCATCATTAACATATGGAACAAAATTGTTAGACAGTTATGGAATCTGAATTCTTAATGTTTTAGGGTAAAATCCTTCAGTTTCTTTGCACAAGTTTTCCAGAGCTAGCTAAACAAAAGGATTTCAGTAACTAACTTGCCTTTAAGAACCTCAATCATAGAATCTGGTCCCAATGTGATTCACAAATCCCCACTCAGGTGCCTCTAAACTCTGTAGGCACCTAAATTCACCCTCAATCTAATACTGGTGTTTGCAGTAACTGTTCCCAAAGTGTCTTTTTTTCTGCCTCAGCTCCAGAGCAATGTGCAAACCATGGGAAGACAGGTAGTTCTCTGCCTCATTTGCCTGTGGGGCCTAATCCAGTAAGCAAATTCAGACTTTGCCTCACTTATTGGGCCCTACATACACAAAATGCTGGGTCCTGCGATGGGGGAGGAGAACCTTACTCATAACTTTTAGCTTTGTGACTAGGTTTCTCACCTAAGGTATAGGAGACATCTGGTTCAAGTCCCTCTCCCCGCCTATGGGAGAAGCAGGGATTTGAACTGGGATCTGCCATCTCTCGGGAGTAACCACTGGGGAAATTTTGATATGAGCCTGCACCCATCTCTCCTGTTCAAGCTGTTCCTCTCTGGATAGATAATTTTACAAAGTAATTTGAACAGGGGGGATTGGATCCTGGATTTCCCACCTCTCACCTTGTGTAGTAACTCGGGAGAGATTCGTGCCAACCAGCTTTAGCCCCCAGCCACAGGGTTATTCTCATACTTGATGTTGTGTCTGTAGCCCAATGATTCTTTCATTGTTTATCCAAAAATTATTCTAAAATAGAGTCAGCACCTAACATCAAGAAAGAGCTTGGGGCTGGGAATCCTAGGCAGAAGTAGATTGATTTCTGCAGTTTGGATTCAGGCATCTATCTCTAAGAGAGGGAAGGATTAGCACCAATGTTCGCTCTAATCTTTAATCTTTTCCATCAATATGCAGTTTTTTTTCCTATCCATGTGCAGAATAAATGTTTATGTGCACCAAGGCATATGCGAAACCACCAGGAGAAACACAAACCTACCTGTGGGCTAATCAGCTGGTTGGCACGAATCTCTCCCGTGTTACTGCACAAGTGCAACACTTACCAGAAACACTAGTTAGCACACTCTCCCCCTCTCCCCCCAGGTTGGTGCCTCATGTTTGGCTACGTCACAGGGTACAGTATGTCTATACTGCAATGTCTTGAAGCGGCATGCGGAGTACATGCGCTACAGCACATATATAAAAAGCAGTGTAGATAGTCAGGCACAGCTTAGAAGAGTGACGACATGCCTGAACTCTGTGAAATTGTACCTTCCGTGGCACTTTATCTACACTGTTGTTTGTAGCAGTGTAGTGTCCCTGCACTGTGTGTCTGCCCGAGCCTTTTCCTGCCCTAGGAAGAGGCTCCATTTGAAGGGAAAGACTTTCGGAGAGGGAAGCACGTGGGGAACTTCTGAACTTCTCTCAGCATGAAAGGATAGCATGGAACAACTTTGAGTAACATCAGCTTGCATGCATTCTGGGTTTCTTTTTGTAGGTTCCATAATGGTAACGTAATCATAGTGTTTTTTTTTTTTAAATAATGTTAACATCTCTGACAGTCACATTTGCTGTGCACATTATACCTAACTCACTTATCAAATGGTTGTGAGGAGAGGTATTTTCTTTTTATTAGCAGGCACTAAACAATGAAATGTTAATGGTAAAAGCAGACACGTGCTTAGAATTACTTTTTATGGAAGTTTCCCTAGGTTTTTTTCAGCCAAGTGTATTTCGTGTGCTACCATAAAAGCCAAAATAGAAAGATCAATAGCACTGCATGCTCACTCAAAGTCATTTAGAAATATACTAGTTCTTCTCAGCCAACTTCTACTGTCCTTTCTTTCATTTCTACTGTGAGGACAGTGCATTACATGTTTTGTTTAGCATTTAACAGATTCTTTTTCTATGTAATATGTAATGCATTTCTTCTTCAGTAACAAGTATTTATAAGATCATGACTTTAATTTCAAGATCTTTTTGTTGTGCAAACCAACCTCCCAAAGTCCACATTTTTAACAGAATGTAATAATCATAGATAATATACATGAGTAAACAGTCACAGTACTGATCATCCAAGATAATCTTTTCAATAATACTTGACTGGGTTCTGGATGTTTTTGCTGCAAGAGTTTTAGTTACAATCAATACAGTAACTTTTTTAAATATTGGCAGCCTTAGGGATTAACAACTGATATCTAGTTTTACTGGGCTAGAGCATCAGGTGGTGTAAATTATTCATTTTATTGACTACAATAGCCCTACACTGATTTGCATCAGTGGAGGTTCTAGCCCATTATTTTTTACTGTCACTTGTATGTGAAAACTTGTCCTCTCCATCCTCAGTAAAATGCTTCTGTTTTGATATTAGCTCACCACTTTGGAAAGAGGTAAAGAGGTATGGAGAGAAGTTAGGGAAATGATGCTCTGGAATTCACACTAGTGCATTTGCCATTTTTCAAATTCTGTATCGAGAGAGAAAAAAACCCAAGATTTAAAATAAAATATTGTCTTAAAGTTAAGATGTAGAGCATCTTTGCATTTGAAGAAGTTGTGTTAGAGGTTGGAGTTTATAGGTTGCAGGCAAATTATTTTATCCTTTGCAAAAGGCAAGTTGCCTAGTAAGTTTCTTAAATCTGTGCCTTACAGAGACAGTGCCTTGCTCCCAGATACTATGATGAGTCCTTGCTTTACTGCTGGTAAAATGATGAGTCCTTTCCTTAGCGTGGTCAATATGGTCCATTTTCTATACTTCCAGTGAAAAGAAAGTGGTAATGGCTGGAAAAATTTTCTGTAGTTTTTCTCCGTGTGTATTCTCCTTGTTATGAAACATTAAACAAAATATCCTTTAATAACTTAGTAGGCAGAATGAAAAGTAAAGGAGACTATTGATTTTTACACTAGTGTTTTATTGTGTTCTATTCCATTTTGCTTTTCTTTGATTTCAAAGATCTAGTGCTAGTTGAAGTAACCCTTATGTTAAACACATTCCTGGAATGGTGCCATAGTTGCTGCCTTAAGTTCTGTGTAAGAACACATGACAAAATAAAAAAGATCTTTACACAGTCCCCTGATAATGAATGACTCATTCAACCAGATGGGTGCAATATGGATTGTGTCTGAGAACTGAGGAATGGAATGCAAAGAGTTTGGTGTTTGCAGTGTGGTTAAAAAAATATTACTATAAAACAGTTGGATTTTTTTTCTTTTAAATCCATGGGGCCACAGTAGGTTCCCCAGATCAGCTTCTAAGGGTGCATTCTGCCTAAAAGAAGTCTCAGGGAAAAATCCTGTACTTCTTACTCTCATAAGTAGTCCTGTTAAAGTAATTTCTGTTAGCAAGTAGCACTGTTTTGTATATGGGGAAAAACAGCTGTCATTAAATCACATCAGTTTTTTAAAGTGTTGTAAATTCACAAAAGGACTTTTCCTTCTCCTCACCTTTACCTGGGCTCCTTTTGATTTGTACCACCTTTGTCTTTGTTTGGTGCAATGGAAAGAATTTGTTTTTAAGATCATATTATCTATGAAGGATTTTTATTTGTATTTTTTTGTAACTCTAGCTCAGTCTGAGTGAATACAAAGCTTTTTCATGTCAGAGTATTTTTATAGCAATCATTTAAATGTGTTTCATCTATATTTCCTGGGATGTACTCATCCCCTTTTAATGTTAGCTCTTATTTCTGACACCCCATTTTAAGCATTTGAGTGGAGATGGATTTGTTACTCTGTGTTTTTCCTGCCTAAAGCGCGCAACATTTTTTATTGGTCCTACAAAACCCACAAACAGTGCAACATATTCTGGAGCAGCCTATACTGGCACTTTGGTCCAGATCCTCAAAGATATTTAGGCATCTAACTCCCACAGAAATCAGTGGGAGCTGGTGTCTAAATTCCTTTGTGTCTCTCTAGGCTCTTATCTTTTAACTATTTTACATGTATTTTAGCCCTACAACAGAGGCTATAGGTTCTTAAATTAGCACAGACATTAATGGAGCAAGCATCTTATCTCATCTCATGCTATCAGGGTGTGGTATGTTATACCCTTTAGTTGTTTTCCAGTTGATTTCAAATATATTAATAGACTTTGCTCTAGGTGCCATTTCTCCTAGTAGCCTAGGAGCAATCCTTGCTTCCCAAATCCTTTCCAAGCCTCCTTCCTCCTGCACCTGAACTATTGAAGCTTCTTCCTCCCCCATCCAGGTAACTGCTGCAAAAATAATCCATTTTGCCTAGCATTTTAACCATGTTCAACCACCCTACAATTCCTCTATCGCGGTGGTCTCCAACCTTTTTAAGCATGAGATCACTTTTTGATTTTAAGTGCAGTCCAGGATCCACCTCAAACCCAAACACCCTTGATCTGCCTCCTTCCCGCCCCTTCTCCAAGGCCCCACCCCTGGTCACTCCATTCTCCCTTTCCCACCCCCACTCATTTTTATCAAGCTAGGGGTAGAGTGTTGGGGAGCGAGGGAGGGGGATGCGGTCTCTGGTCTTGGGCTAAAGGAATTAGTGTGGCAGGAGTTCTGAGTTGAGC